CGTCACTTCGGAACAGAAGGGTGTCAAACTCCAGTATTCGAAAAGTCCTGGGCGGGAGCGCCATTTCAAAATCGAATCCGGAAGGCTCCGAATTCTGCTGCGGAGGAAGTCTTGGGCGGCAGCGCCATGTCGTAAGCGATCCAGAAAAGCTTCGAAATCTTGTCTGGAAGAAGGCTTGGGCGGGAGCGCCATCTCGAAATCGCACCCGGAGCTTTCGAAATTGTTCAAATTTGTTTGTTTGTTGAAGTCTCAAGCGAAGCCGTCGTTTCGAAATTATCACGCCGCTTGGCATTTCATTGACGACCTTTATGAACGTTTTTCTCATAGGACGTCCTCCCAAAACGTTGCCTGCATGAACGACCTGTATGAACGATGCGACGACGCCGACGACCCTCAAAGTGTGCGACGACGACGGCGATACATCGGTCGGTGAGCGGGCGCGCCACTTTCCAGACCCACCAGATGAGGGTCAGTCACAAGCGGTACTTCAAACCGCGAATGGTTGCCCTGGACATGACGCTGCGCACATGTTTCTCGGAAGTTGTTCGCCCGCCTCTCACTCCTCGGACACTGCGAAGCGATCCGCATGAACGATGCGACGACGCCGGCGCGCCTCAAAGTGCGCGACGACGACGGCGGTACATTGGTCGGGGAACGAGTGCGCCGCTTTCCAGACCGACCAGGTGCAGGGCAACCACAAGCAGTATTTCAAGCCGCGAATGGTTGTCTTGCACATGACGTTGCGCACATGTCTCTCGGAAGTGATTCGCCCGCTTCTCAATCCTCGGGCATTGCGAAGCGACCTGTATGAACGATGCGACGACGCCGACGCGCCCCAAAGTGCGCCACGGCGGCGGCGATACATCGGTCGGCGAGCGAGCGCGCCGCTTTCCAGACCGACCAGATGCAGGGCAACCATAAGCGGTTCGAATTGTCACAGTAAGGGCTAGTTGGAGGAGGTGGAGGAGGAGGAGGAGTCGGAGGAGGAAGAGGAGGAGGAGGAGGCGGACGAGGAGGAGGAGGAGAAGGAGGAGGAGGAGGAGGAGGAGGAGGAGGGTGCGGACGAGGAGGAGGAGGAGGCGGACGAGGACGAGGAGGAGGACGAGGACGAGGACGAGGACGAGGACGAGGACGAGGACGAGGAGGAGGAGGAGGAGGAGGAGGAGGAGGAGGAGAGGAAGCAGGGGGAGGGGGAAGGGCCATGAACGTGGCTGCTGACTGCGGCTCGATCGAGGCCACGACCTCCAGGGGCCTCCTCTGCAGCCGCCGCGGTGCCGGCGGCGGCCGCTGCCTCGCGAGCCGCGCGGCGGCCGCCGGGCCCCATAGCGCACGGCGCGTGCCGCCGCCGGGCAGCAGCCCAGCAGCAGCGCCGCCCGGCCTCCGGTCGCGCTCCCCGGCGGCGCCCCTGCAGGTCGCCGCCGCTGCGGGCCGGTGGCGTCGCTCTGCTTATCGCGCCGCCGCGGCGGCCCCTCCCGCCTAGTAGCACATATCTAACTTTTCTTGTTTTTAGAGAGGCATCTTTAAAACATCTAAATATGCTTGAAAAGCATCGACGATCATGAGGGTCTGGGGTCGGAGGAGAAGGGGGCTGCGCACCTGGGCCCTCCGGCGCCCCTGCCCGTGGCTGCCCCGCTCTGCCCGCGGGCGCCGCGCCTGCTCGCCCAGGAGCTCGCGGCGGGCGTGCGCCGCGCCCCTTGGGCGAGACCGGCGCCGCGTCGCTCTGCCCGCCGGCTGCCACCACCCCGAAGGTGGGCCCTGGCGCCGGAGTGTTCCGCGTCGCCGTATAGAGCGCTCCTCCCACCTCCCGCCGGAAGAGGCCACCGACGCTTCCCGCGATCCTGGCGTTGCCACGTTTTCGCACCGGGCGCTTTTTCGCCCGGCGTCGGGGCCCGGGGCCCTCACAGATCGATCCGGCCCCAAGAGCGAGGCAGAAAGATGGAGTCCAGGGCTCCGGTCGTGATTTTCCACCATGTTTGAAGTTCGGGAGACGTCAGATCTCAGGGCTGGCGCGGCAGCCTCGGAGGGGGCCTCCTGGCGAGACAGGGCCTGTGCCGCCGCGAACGCGAAAGGGAACCGCGAGAATGTGTTGGACTCGGCATCGGACTTCGTGTCGGGCACGTCGTCGGTCGACGAGTCGAGCGTGGCCTCGGCATCGAACTGGGAGTCGGCACCAGCGTCCACATTCTCTTCGGCGGCGGCGCCTGCGACGTCAGCTGTTGCAGGGCAGTCGTCCCCCGTAGGGGCCCTCACGGCGCCGCCGCCCGCGGCAGGCGGCCACCAGCACAGCGCCTAGGAGGGATCCATGACGCCCGAAAACGCCAGGGCGCCGAACGTGCACCGAACGCCGACGTGCCCCATCACGGAGACGACAGCGCCTGCGACGGGCACGAGCTCCACCGTGTCGGCTCGCAGCGACTGCTCCGCCCGCACCGCCTCTTGCTGCACGCGACCCCCGCTGCTGGCACCACAGCCTTGGAGCGTCTTGGGATGGAGTTCAGCTCGGTCTTTGATGCCTCAGTCAAGGCGGTCGCAGGGACATCGACGACGTGCGAGGCCGCGTTGCGCCTCGCCACCTGCAGCACGGACGGGAGGGGGCCTGACAGCGCGGCCGCAGGGGCGGGCCCACGAGCAGGAGCCGCGCCGAGAGCTCAGAGTCGTTGCCGAGCGCCGCCCTGAGCTCCTCCAGCCGCTCTGTCAGCGCTGCCTCCTCGCTGGTGGGCCTCCTCACGAGATTGTCTGTTGCAGCTACCGCCCTCACCCGCCGCTGACGCCTGCCAGCTGCACCGCTCCCCATGTCTCGCCAGACACTGGGTGCGGGCTCCGTAGCCACCTCCCACTGCGACGATCCCCAACTGCACCAGTCCGACTGAGCTCCAGCGCCGCTGACGACGCCAGGGGCCTTTGGGCGGCAGCTTGCCGACTTGACCAAGGGCTTTCGCCCGCTGTGGACGGCTTGAGCCAAAATGGCTTGAGTCAACATGGCTACGGATGGGGAGGAGGAGGAGTAGGAGGAGGAGGAGGAGGAGGAGGAGGAGGAGGAGGAGAGGGAGGACGAGGAGGGGAAGTCCCTCGGAGGTGGAGGAGGTGGAGAGGAGGAGGAGTAAGAAGAAGAAGAAGAAGAAGAAGAAGAAGAGGAGGAGGAGGAGGCGAAGAAGGAGGGCTACGCCGGAGGAGGGGGGAGGAGGAGGGTGAGGGAGAGGAGGAGGAGGAGGAGGAGGAGGAGGAGCAGGAGGAGGAAGAGAAGGGTGCAGGAAGGAGCCGAGGGTAGATGAGGAGGAGATGATGATGAGGAGGAGGAGGAAGAAGAGGAGGAGGAGAAGATAATTATGTCGAGGAGGAGGTCAAGGACGAAGAACCGGCGAGAAGGAGGAGGAGGAAAAGGAAGAGGACGGCGACGGAAATGAGGATAAGGAGGATAAGCAGGACAAGGAGGATAAGGAGGATAAGGAGGATAAGGAGGAGGAGGAAGAGGAGGAGGAGGGCTACGCAGGATGAGGGGGGAGGAGGAGGGCGAGGGGGGACCTCGAGGAGCTGTGGCCGGCGGCCATCGCGCAGGTTGCGGAGGGGGGCAGGCACGGGGTGGCGCACGGCGGAATGGGGGGGGGAGGGGGGGGAGATCGCGGGTGCAGCGGGGAGGGGGCCCAGAGAGTCGGGCGGGCGGTAATTCAAGCAGTGGCGAAGCGTCCCAGCGTGCCCATAGCCCTACATAACAATGTTCTAAGGACGTTTTGTGGTTTCCACGAAATGTTCTGAGAACCTTTCTGGCGGAGTTTGTTTTGTTTTATCACATCGGGTTTTTGTTCTAAGAACATTGTTTTTGCTCTAAGAACATTTTGGGGTTCTAAGAACACTTCGTGGTAGGACTATAGGAATGCCGGGACGGTCGATCCCTTCTCGAGTAATGGGGGGTGACCTATAGAGGGGGTGAAGGACAGGGTCCTAAATGGGGCCCTTTAGGGCTCTAAGGGGCTTATTCTGGTGGCTTTTCTTGACCCCCCAGTTTGGGCCACCCCCCACTGCCACCCGCCCGAGAGAGGGAGGGGCCTCGTCTTGCAGCCGTCGGGGGGTCGAAGGTGGCCCAGCACTGGTTCCGGCCAGCAGCAAAAAGATGAGGAGGAAGAGGAGGAGGAGGAGGAGGAGGAGGAGGAGGAGGAAGAGGAGGAGGAGGAGGAGGAGGAGGAGGAGGACGAGGGCCAGCAGCTTCGAGGCTCTGCGCTCGGGACGTTTTGGTTTCTGTCTTCTCGGCCTCCAGCGGCCGCTCGCTTCCCTGTGTGGGAAGAACTGCACCAGGTGGGCCCCGGGAGGGGTCCGGGGATTGATGTGGACCGAAGGTGGCGTCATCCGTCCCTCCTGACCGATTCTCTTGGGCCCCGACCGGTTCAGAACTCGGGCCGGACGAAAGGGGGGGGTTGGGAAAGGGGGTGTTACGAAGTCTGCTGCATGCAGCTGGTTTCGGCCCCTTCGAGGGGCCCATGCCTCGATACATGGCCGCCTCCGGCGCCGGGAGGCGCTGGGAAAATCAGCTACGTGAGCTGATTCTCAACCCCCCCCTTTGCTATCCCCCCCTTTCGCTCGGCCCGAAGAACCCCCAGCCGCCTCCAGACCACATGTGTGCATTGAGCGCGGGCGGTTGCTCCAGCTCCGCGGCGCACCGAGCCCCACGAGGACTCCTCGGTGGCGCGCCGTGCTCGCCGTCCGGCCGCCTCCGATCCTCGTCGTCTCGTCGTGGCCGGCGCACGGTCGGGAACGTTTGCTCAGCGTGCCGCGACACGCTGGTTCTGGTGTCCACGCTGCGGCGCGACTGGCCGACGGAGCCCCAGCACTCGAGCGTCCGCGTCCTGAGCTTTTCCTGGCCTCCCCGCCCCGCGGCGCGGAGCGACGCGCTGTCCGCTCGCGGGGCACAGCGTGTCGCCGGGGCCACCGCCGTGACACGCTACGCAAGCGTTCTCGACCGTAGTGGTCGTCGTCGTGGTCGGTCGCCGCCGCCGCCGCCAGCGGAGGCCGTGGACGCGGGCGTCGAGGACGGCCTGGCGTGGACGGCGGACAAGGCGGGCGGGCGGCGCGGCCGCATGCCTGGCACTAAGGCGGACATGTCCCTCTACAGAAGGCATATTCAAAAGTAGTCAAAGAATAGGTGAGGAACGATTTTTTGAGTATGTTTGTTTTGGACCGTTTTGATTCTCTTCAAAATCCGCCTGTAGGAGGACATGCCCGACCTAACCCTGGCGCCGTTGGTGGCGGGCAGCAGGGCTGAAAGCTCGGCGCCTTCGAAGCAGAAGTGGCGGCAGGAACGGCTGAGGCTCGGAATTTGACAGAACGTGATGATGATGTTGATGATGTTGATGACGCTGATGATGGTGATGGTGATGATGATGATGATGATGATGATGATGATGATGATGATGATGATGATGATAATGATCATGATCATGATCATGATCATGATCATGATGATGGTGATGGTGATGGTGATGGTGGTGATGATGGTGATGATGATGATGATGATGACAATGATGATGACAATGATGATGACAATGATGATGATGATGATGATGATGATGATGATTATGATGATGATGCTGATGCTGATGCTGATGATGATGATGATGATGATGATGATGATGATGATGATGATGATGATGATGATGATGATGATGATGGTGATGACGATGGTGATGATGATCACCCTGCCGAGACGGTCCGCGAATTTGCCGTTGCGTGTGCGACTCTCGCGTGGGCCTGCGCCCGGCAGGGCTGGTCCCGGGCCGTGTTCACACGCAAGGGGGGCGTTGCTGAAGGGGTTGGTGCCCACCCCCGAGTGGAGGGTTTCTCCGAAGGGCTTTGGCGACCCGTCCTCCTCCTCCTCCTCCTCCTCCTCCTCCTCCTCCTCCTCCTCTCCCTCCTCCTTCTCCTCCCTCCTCCTCCTCCCCCTCCTCTTCCCCCGCCTCCTCCTCCTCCTCCTCCTCCTCCTCCTTCTCCTCCTCCCACCTCCTCCTCAACCTCCTCCTCCTCCTCCGCGGCTCTGTGGCGCATTACTCCCTGCGGGCAAAGGCACCAGAGAGGTGTCCAATGATTTGGGCGTCACGGCCCAGCCGCGATCGCTAGGTTGGGGCGTGCCGGCATATCCGTAATCACCCTCTGCCGCACGCTAGGTTGTTGCGGCTGGTGGGGAGGACAAATCGCGCCCCCCACTCAGGCAACGAACACCGGTTAGCTGGACAGCTCACCGGTGCACTGCGGCAGCGCTCCGTGGGGCGAACAAATCGTGCCCCCCCAGGGCACCCGCAGGACACCGGTTAGCTGGACAGCTCACCAGTGCACTGCGGCTGCGCCCCGTGGGGCGGACAATTCGCGCCCCATTGGGGGCACCTGCAGAACATCGGCTAGCTGGGCAGCTCGCCGGTGTCCTGCTGTTGCTTCGACCTCGTGGCAGCAAAGAGCGATTCGGACTCTGTCACTCGCCCGCTGTCGCACGCTGTGGTTCTAGGTTGTTGCGACCGGTGGGGCGGACAAATCGTGCCCCCCCCTCAGGCATACTCATCGCATTCCCTAGCTGGACCGCTCACAGGTGCACTGGCTAGGGGTAGCAAGCCGCCTTGACCTTGTGGCACCCGGTGAGCTTCCACAGGACCTCCCTACATGGCTAGGGAGTCTGCGTCTGACGCTATTCTGGGGGATGCCAGTGCATTTTCCGACCAGGCGATGTGACACGGTTCACGCCTCATCAATTGCTGGGTAGGCGGCGACGTGATTTGTCGCGAAGCCCCCACCGCCTAACCGAATGCGTCGAACAGAGATGGCTGTCTCGGGTATGTCAACCACATGTACCACCCACCATTACACGGTGCCTTGACCAGTCCCCGCGCAGGCTCTGGGACCACAAAGGTTTGTCATCCCAACCTTCACGAGCACCGCATCAAGGATGGGCGAGCCTATGTGCCCCATCCGAATGACAGGGTCATGCCTACCCTCAAGGTCATTAGCGCTACACTGCGATCCTCCTCCTCCTCCTCCTCCTCCTCCTCCTCCTCCTCCTCCTCGGGTCGCCTACGGTCCCGGGGGAAACCGTGTGCCCCCGAGAGACGGCATCAGCGGCGTTCAGGAGAGAGGGGAACCCAGACAGGATCGCGTCGTAGAAATCAAATCAGGACGGAAGGTTTTTGGGCCAACTTCCACCTCGCGGGGCCCTCGCCGGGCCTCGGGACCGTCAAACGACGACTCAGGATATTTTAAAAATGGTTCCGGGGAACGGGTCGGGACTTTGGGGACCCCGTGCTGAGAAAATCAGGACGTCGCATGTCTGGGAAGGCTCAGCGCCGACCGAAGATATCCGCGTATAGCTCCGAACGTTCATTCCGGCACTGATAGAGCGCCCACCCAGACGAGTCGACTGAGGAACTCTGCACGGGTTCACTCGACATTGGTTTTCCAGTGTGCCGGTGCTGTCCCCGGTCGGTGTTGCTGATCGGCGTGCTTTTCGCCAGATACAGTCGGTTATCTTAGGACGTCGATCAGCGACCCCGCTGGGGTGCATTTGGAAGGCGATACCGTGTGCACGTGGAGTGCCTACGACAGCTTTATGATTTACCAGAAATGCTCTCCCGACATATGTTCATGTCCTCACATGTACACAACTGACATATGCATGTGCACATCGGGCGTTCCAAACAAGGACTTGCCTTTGAGGGTACAAGGGATTGTCATCTCCTCCGCGGCGGAAGGACGGCGGAAGGTCGGCGGAAGTGAAGCGAGGCCGCCTCCGCCGGCGGAGGCCGGCGGAAGGCCGGCGGAAGGGCGGCGGAAGTGAAACAGAAACGCCTCCAGGAGATGCAACACGTTTTTGGGTGCAGGGGTTCCGAAGTCGCCCATAGATGCAGATAGAGATATGAACGCGCATGCTTCATGCAATGTGGAGGCGTTTTCACCTTGGCTGCCTCGTTGCGCCCGTTTCGAAACGCAACACGTCCCGTGTTCAAGACGTCCGAGTCAATACGTTGCGTGTTGGCTCCACGTATTGGACCACGCTTCAGCCTGCGTGTTGAGTGCTTGGCCACGTATTGGACCACGCTTCGGCCTGCGTGTTGGCTCCACGTGTTTGGCGAGTGTACCGCGTCGGACCTACGCTTTCAGCCTGCGTGTTGAGCTCCGCATCAGTACGCTACGCTCGGGGGAGCGTAAGACCCGGGTTTGCCGGGACTCGGGTTCGCCACCGTTTTTTGACGACCGAGCCTCGGATTTTGACGAGGAGGAGTTTCGTGGGATGTTTGCAGCGGGAGGCCTCGTCAAAATGCAGGCTCGGCCTCGTCATTTTTTTGACGACCTCGTCGGGGATTTCCGAGTCCCCCGTAACCGGGTCTTACGTCTCCCCGATACGCGTCGCGTGTTGCTTCTCGGTGCAACTGAGCCTTTCACTGTTTCGACACCTCCCGCCGTCTGTCTCCTGGGGCCTCCATGGGGGCCACCGCGCCGCCACGGCGGGGCGCGCCTGGGGTTCCTGCCCGGGGCGGGCTCCGAGACCCGGAGCCCCAGCGTCCACACAGCGGCCGAGCTCTCCAAGGGCGCGTCCTCCTCCTCCTCGTCCTCCTCCTCCTCCTCGTCCTCCTCCTCCTCCTCCTCCTCCTCCTCCTGCTCCTCCCCGGTCCCCCCTTCCCCGCTCGGGCCCCCTGCCGCTCGCCAAGAGCTGCACCCGTGACCCGAAGAAGAACAAAGACGCCATGAGCACAACCTTTGGGCGATCCGCGCAGATCTCTTGGATCCGCGCTGGGGCCCCCTGACGGCGCCTCCGGCGCCGCCCCTGGTGCGCTCCGCGCGCCAGGGAGGGGGGTCCACGTCAGGTCCAAGAAATCCGCGCGGACCTCGCAGCGGTTATGCTTATGCCGGCGTTTGTTCCTCCAGTGGCGAAGGAGGCCATGTGAAGGATCTTTGTCTGTCTTGAGGGCATATTGGGGCCATCTTTCGGGGGTGGACAGGCCTCCTACCCTGACACGTCGATTAGCGAATTGGCCGTTTTCTGTTCGCGAGAGGGCGTCGCTGCCGTCATTTTTGCGGGTCCAGGTCCGTCGGTTTCGGTCCTGGGCCGTTTTCACTTATTGGCTTCGCTCGGACACAATCTGACCGTCGTGCAGGCCTCTTGGAGCCCGCTTGAAGATGCAGTCGGCACGCCAAATGAGAAACCAGCCTGCCAGCGGGTGCCCAACGAGACCATGTGTAAGATCGCCCAGAACCCATGAATCTGAGCCCATTGAAGAGCATTTTTGATTTTTCAGCGCGGAGGGCTACGACAGTATGGGCGCGAAAGGCGTTGTCGCAAGTCCCTGTCAGAGGCGTCATTTGGTTTTGCAGCGCTGCAGGTTCTCTGATGTATGGCGAGAAAGGCAGACGATCAGCAGATAGGAGTGCTGTTGATTGGCCCATTGTGGCTATAGACGCTGATCGGTTCTCACTTCTCTTATGTATCACCTGCACTATATCCCTCGCTCTCTCTCTCTCTCTTTCGCTCTCTCGGTCATGATCTCTTTTTCTCTCTCCCTCCCTCTCTCTTCCCATACCTCTCTCTATGTATCCCTTTCTCTTTTTTTCTCTCTCTCTCTCTCTTCCTCTGTTTTTTTTTGTTCTCTCTCTCTCTCTCATTCTCTATTCATCTCTCTATCTCTCCCGCCTTCACTAGCCCGCCCCATGTCTGCTCTCCTCCTCATTCTCCTCTTCCTCGTCATCTTCCTTTTTCTCTTGCCCCATCATCCAGCACATCCTAGTTTTCATCTTCCGCTTTTCCCTGCACGTCTCTCTTCTTGCTTTTCGCCGTCTCTTCTTCTCCTTCCAGTTTTCCACAGAAACCATGGCAGCATCGGTGGAGGTTGATGGGGTCATCAGCTCCATTTATAACGTCTTCAAGAAGGTTCCGGCGGACGACGACAAGAAGCTCGATGAGTGAAGCGGCAATTGTCAGGGTTGCTGTTGCAAACTGCCTGGTTTTCCCACAGCTCGCTGACAACAGGTCGGGTAGAGCAATCAGTTTGACCGCCGCCCCTGCACAACATGGACGGCGTTGCCAGCTTATCCGATGCAGCTCGGCGCTGGCGCGCTCCAGAAAGGGCCTCGCTTTCTGAGCATCCTCGTGTTCGGCGGCTCCCCCAGCGGACGCCGCCGGAAGGTCGAGGGAGTGCAAACGGCTCAGAAAAGACGGGAACTTTGGAATACACCCCAAGGGGGCTGTTGGGACGAACCCCCATCGAGGGGGTGACGCCCCCCCAATGTATCCCAGGGTTGGGCCCAAAACGTTTGGCCCAGTCGAGAGCTTCCCAAAGCCTGGGATAGTGGTCGACACATCTCTTGCTATGATGGGAGGGGCGGAGGTGGTGCGGAGGGTCTGCGTCGCCTCCGACGTGCGGAGGTCTCTGCGCCGACGTCTTGGCGCCCAGAGCTCTCCCGCCCCCCGCCCCCGCTGGGCCGACGTCGTCGCCGCGAGCCTCCCGTCCTGCAGGCGGGCCCCCCTGGGACGGCGTGTTTGCTTTGTCGTGTGCTGTTTTGCGTGTGTGTATGCATGCGTGCGTGTTTCGCAGTGTTTTGGTCTGGACCCCCCATAGGCACGCGTTCGGTGGCAATCACTATTTGGCGCGTCCCGCTGTTGCCCCCGCTGCGTTGGATCAACCGGCCGCGAAGGAAACACGTGTTGTGTTGTGTTCGTTGTTGTTCCACGTATTGTTTTTGGGAATTGTTTATTCCCCTCTAAGGCGTGCTTAAGGGATTCTTGCTTGGGGACACGTTGCCCGTTGCTCGGAGGTTCCCCGGGCTCCTCGGGTTCCTCGCCTTCGGTGCCTCGGGGGCTACTTTGCCCGTTGCTCGGAGGTTACCCGGGTCCCTCGGGTTCCTCGGGGTCCTCGTGTTTCTCGGGTCCCTCGGGTTCTTCGGGTTCCCCTGGTTCTTCGGGTTCCCCGGTTTTGGTTTCTCGGCAACGCCACGCAATGCCAGCCGAGCGATGCCAAGAGATGCGCCCAGCGATGCGCCCATGCAGCAGGCTTCCCCCAATTGGGGTCGCGCCGTGTTCGTGTTGTTGTTTCCCCCCCGTGATTGCTGCGCGACGCCTCCGAAGGTCTGGGAGCGCACGTCCGCCCGCCTGGACAAGAGGCTTCTTGCCCCGCTCCGGCGGGTGCAGAAGTGGGCACACGAGGCGGAGCTGTCCTCCGCAGCAGCGCGCCTGTCCGCACATGCCCGCCCGTGCAAGCACGGTGGGCATCTTTCTCTCGTCCGCGCGTGTCCTCGGTTGCCCCCTTGGTCGCGTCCTCCCGGCCTCGTCTCTCGTCCTCGCTCGTCGCGCACCCCTCCCTGCGCGCGTCCCCGCCTCCCTGCAGCGCCACAGAGCGGGCTAGATGTCGTACCCCTAGCCATCTGGCGCCCTTGCTCGGGCTCTGAGCTCCCGGGGGTTGCCGAAAGACAGCGGGCGCATCGAAGAAGAAAGCGGCCTGCCAGCAGGTGCGCCCTGGCCATGTCGCATCTCCCGCGGCTCGAGCTGAACGGTGTCTTCTTGGCGATTTCGTGGGCCGTGTTCGTTTAGAGTTCGTTTCGCAGCGAAGGTAGAACGAAGGCAGAGCGAAGGAAAGCGAACACAAGAAACGAAAGCAAGACAGTATCCTCCGAGGGCGCCAGGGACCCACAGAAGTCCCTGGGGCACCGAGGGGCCCGCAGAGGTCGGCGACGAATGCTCCAGGATCTCTCATGGCAGGAGTGCGTCTCGTGCCTCTTTGATGTGGGCAGACGCTGATGCCGTTTCACACTCTCTGGGATCGCCTTGACACTTGTCGCACCCTGACGCGTCTTGCTCTTTGAAACTATCTGAAGATGTTCTGTGTGTCCTGTGCTGGCCAGGCGTCGCCGGAACGAGGGGGCGGCTTGCTTTCGGGCTGTTTCGGGGCTCCTTTCTCGGTTCTCATCGGGGGGATTGCGCACTGCCCAATTGTAGGATCACGCTGTGGCGTGACAGCGAGGCGCTCGTGTGATCCGGAGTGAATGGTTCATGAAGTGTTCCTCAACGCTGCCTAACAAACATCTGATCGTACGTGTCTACTGTAGGCGGGGAAAGGGAAGAGGGAAGGCAAGGACGGAACGAGACGCGCGGTGTTGCGTACTCGAAACGAGGGCCCATATCGAAAGGGGAGTCCGGAATAATTCGCTGGAGCTCGCAATCAGCCTTCGGCGTCTGGAGGTGGTTCCCGCTGCCCAAAACCGTGATGACGCCCGCAGGGGTACGTACGTTGCATATTGATTTACGACGTCATGCGCACGTTCGTTCGCCTCAGTATGTCTGTGTGTGCTGTCGTTGTTGCGCAGCACATTGCCTTCATGCAGCACGCCTCATCACGAGCGTGTGCTGAAACTGTTGCCCGTTGCTTCACGGCTCAAATTATTGCAGCTGTCTTTGTCGACCCCGTTAACCTATTCGTGACATTCCTCCTGCCCCCCGAGAAACCCTCAGACCCTCTCGACCTTGTTGTGGAGCAGGAGGGCGGAGAGGATGAGAGAGAAAGAGAGAGAGAGAGAGAGAGAGAGCACCAGAGACACCCGCAGCCTTCTCGTCTCCCGCTCTGATCGTCTCGTTCTCCTTCTCCTCCTTATCCTCCTCCTCCTCTCCCTCCTCCCCCTCCCCCCTCTCTCCACATTCATCGTTCTCTCTGTCCTCCTCTGCTCCTCTCTGCCCCGAAACTGCACAGTACGAGTCCTGCACTCCCCTCTACCTCGCAGGCGTCAAGAGCGTGGCGCGCCCCCCCTCCGCGTCGCATCTCGTGCCTACAGGACTGGTACTAGCTATTGTTGTTATTGTTGTTGAATTCTCATTTATGAACAATAATTATTGTTGATCCCCCCACAGGTGCATACTGTTTTTTCTCAATCAAAGTGTGCCCCTCGTCGCTCGCACCCTGTTTTTTATCAGGGGAAGTCTTCCTGCTCAAACTGGCCCCTTGGCCCCCTGGTTACAACAACAACGGCTCCCGCTTGAGACTTCCTTACAATTTAGCCAGGACCCCCGCCCCCGCCCGAGACTTCCTCGCATTTTATTCAGGAATCGCGCTCTCGCTTGGGACGTCCTCACAATTTATGCAGGAATCGCTCTCCCGGCGCTCTGGAGTCGCGCTCTCGCTGGAGACTGCAACTTACTGAAGAATAGCCTTGCTTTGGAATTTGTTGCAATTTGCCCAAGCGCCGCGCTCCCGACACCCAGGCACCCAGGAGTCGCGCCCGTTGTGACCCCATGTGCATGCCCTTCGTGGCCTCGGTGTCGCCATTTGTGTCCCCCTCACTGTCCTACGTGGCCCAGTTGCTACCCTCAGTGGCCCCATAGTTGCCTTTTGTGGCCTCGCATTATCTGCACTTCGTGGCCCCCGCTACCGCTACTTCGCGCTCTTCGTGGCCCCATACGCATTCCCTTCGTGTCCCCGCTGTCGCCCTTCGTGGTCTACTTCGTGCCCTTCGTAGCCCTGCTGTCGTTCTCTCTCGCTCTCGCTTTCGCTCGTCGTCGCCGTCGTCGTCGTCGTCGCCGTCGTCTTCGACGTCGTCGTCGTCGTCGTCGTCGTGGTCGGTCCCCTGTCCGTCCCTCTTTGGGTCAGGTCGACGGTCCGCGGCCGCCTCGCCGATCACCTCTGCCGCTGGCCAGGCCGACGGTCCGCGGCCGCCCCGCCGCTTGCCGGGGCCCGGCCTGCAGGGAAGAAAGGTATACCCCCCAAAAGGGGTTCGAACGAAGACGAAGAGGGCGGGTATCGGGGGTTTGGGAAATACGCGTTATTGGACACTCGAGCATCTAAGGGCGAACATTCTTAAATTTATTGTTGTTGTTGCTGTTGTTGTTGTTGTTGCTGTTGCTGATGCTGTTGCTGTTGCTGTTGTTGTTGTTGTTGTTGTTGTTGTTGTTGTTGTTGTTGTTGTTTTTGATGCGTGTCCCACCCGGACGTGCTTGGCCAACGTGACTATCTTGTTGCAGCATGGGCCTCCTGTGAGGATCGGCGCCCTGCTGCCGTCGTTCAAGGTGGCGCTGCGCGGGCCACACTCCTGAGTCCGCGGCATTCCTCATGGCTGTCGCCCCCCTCCCCTCCCCGCCTCCGTCTTCCCCTGGTCCTCCCGCTCCTCCCTCTCCTTCCAGCTCCAGCTCTTGCTTCTGCTTTTCGTCCCCCTCCTCCCTCCTCCTCCTTCCTCCTCCACTTCCTCCTCCTGTTCCTCCTCCTGCTCGTTCTCCTGCTCATCCGCCACCTCCTCCTCCTCTTCCGATTTACGCTTGTCCCCGTTTCCGATTGCGTCAACCACGTTGGGGTCCACTTTGGAATTCCAAACCCGCGGTGTCACGCGTCGCCTGATATGTAACAAGTCGGCGCAATTGGAAGGGTTTGGTGGTAGGTGTTTTGATGTGCGATAAGGCCCGAGCGCAGCGACAGTGGAGACCCATGCCAAGAAACACCCTGTTTGCCTCCAGGGTGCCCTGGTTTTGTGGCCTTTCGATGGTTTTTCTGTGGACATCGTTACGTTCCCACACCAAAAGTCAGTCCTAGGGTGTCAGGGTTGGGTTTCTTGTGAAGGGTTTCTCGTGGTCGGGCTCCTTCTGTAGCGTGGCCTCTCTCCTCTCCCCTCTCTCCTACCCTTGCCCTCCCCCCCTCTGGTACCACCTTCGGCCGTCAGCTGGTGCTGGACCGCTCCTGAAGCTCACGGCTTGAAACGGAAGGTGCCCCTTCAGGCGTTCGTCCGCTGTTGTTCGGCGGCGAGCGAGGGGGGAAAGTGAGCAGGGGCAGGCCTTTTCAGAAGGGCCCTCGCTACGAGCACGCATCACCTCGCGTCTTGTTCTGGCGGCGAGAGGGGGGGAAGTGAGAAGGAGCAGGGTTTCTCAGAAGGCTCGGAAGTCCCCTGGCCTTCGGATAAGTTTTCTAAGCCTTCCCCGAAGACACGAGCAACTCCTCAGAAGTTGCGAGAAGGCTTTCCGATTCTCACTCCCCCGCCCCCTTGGCTCGGCGCCGAGAGTTGTTCCCAGGGTCCGCGTGAGGCGAGCCTCGCACCCGCAGGCCATGTGGAACCTGGAGGACGTCACCCTGGACCCGTGCGGCAACGTCGTGGAGCGCTTCGCCAGGCTGGCCCTGGAGCAAGGCCGCGCGGGCGGGGGGGAGGCTCCGGATCGGCGCTCGGCGTTTTGTCCG